TCTGGGGATATTTGACCAGGTTCAGAACTGGCTGAGCCAAGAGATAAAGAACAACTTAGAGCCCAGTGTTGAAAGTCGTCTTGCTGATGCTGACACCCACTGGCTAATAGTGCATGACTTGTTTTGTAACGCTTTGTCAACGGGCTTTGCAAAGTCTGAGCTGCAAAAGTCATAGTACAGGCAGTGAGAACTGAGTAAGTGCAGATGCCAGCTTCAGAGAAATAGAACCTGATCACACAAGGCCTGGGCTTGTTGGTAAGCTCCCATAAATGGAAATGTGTTCACCAAGTGTGATGGAGAATGCAGGTAATCCAGCACTCAGGAGGGAACACAGGCAGATGGTGAGTTTGAAGCTAACCTAAGTTTTACAGCAAATTGAAAACCAACCTAAATTTCATAACAAGAGACTGTCTCAAAAAGCCAAAGGCCGAAGTTGGGTGTGGTGCTGCATGCTTGTAGAAACCACTTAGAAGCTAGGGCCATGAAGACATCCAGTTTGAAGACACCTTGGACTATCTAGTGAGTTCCAAGCCATCATGAGAGCTCTAGGCCACCCTGGGCCCCCTAACATGACTCCATCTCAAAACACATAAAGTGAAAAAAAAATTGTTTTACTTTTTTAATGGCAGAGGGTGTAACTTAGTGGTAAAGTACTTGTCTTACATGCACAAAGCCCTGGGCCTAGTTGCCAGAACATACATATATAACATACACACACACACACACACACACACACACACACACACGCTGAAGAGGAGAAAGGATTCTACCATGAAGGCAGCTTTGAATAAAGTAATTATGAAATAACTTACACAACCTACCCTTCCCCAGGATATCCCAGGCATCAGGAAGACAGATTGGTGCTGTATGCTGTGTTTGGGACTTTTTGTTTGCTGTTTGTTTGATTGGTTTGTTTGTTGACTGTGTACTGCCATTGTTCAGAGAGATTTGGAAATGGGTCGTATAAACTGTAATGCTAATGGTGTAGAAGAGAGCTTTTAAAGGAAAATCCAGAGAAGAAGCGTGGCCTTCAAGATTACACATTATCCTTTCCAAAAACTCCAGATCCCACCTCTCTGGCTCCCAGAACAAACTGTAGAACTTTCTAAGCTAGGCACTCCACAGGGAGGATGCTGTAAGCCTTGCATGGATCAGTAGTGACACATCACTAAGGGTATAGAGATGACCTCACCATCCTGACCTTGTGTGTAGTGCCCTCAGGGTGGACTCCTTAGGCAACAGGGCTGTACTGATGAAAGAGGAGTTGCCCTTTGGATGTGCAAAGATGGGCACATTTCAGGTGTGTTCTGGGACCTGAAGAGTTTGGAAGTCCTTAACATCCATGTAGGGCTGAGGCACCTCCTCAGCAGAGCTGTGAACCCGCCCCAGCTCCTTTCCCTGCTCCACATGCTGCTTGGTGCCAGTGAAGAGCCAGAGACCACACAAGTTCATCTCCCTTACAGAGCGCTTGCCTCACATAGTCAGGGGCTACTTTCCCTCTGCCTGTGCTACATAGAGAGTTTCAGGCCAACCTGAGCTACATAATAAAGACAAAGAGGAGGTTGGGGATCTACAGTGGTAAAGTGCTTGCTAGCGTATGGGAAGCCTGAACTCATTTAAAAAAAAAAAAAAGATGCAGCCAAAGAGAAGAAGCAAAATAGAGACAGAGGAAGTGGAAAGGGCATGCAGAGCAGAGCAGGAGCCGTGCACAGCACCTTCTGTAGCATGGACTTGTATGGGGAGGCCAAAGACAGCACCCAGACCTAACTCTCAGAGCTAAATGCTCAGGCCAGCTTCTCATTACAGACTCTCCTGCTGGGACGTGAGTGAGCAGGTGCTCTGCACAGGGCTCACAGGGTTCTGTATGCTGTGTCTGCATGGTCTGACAGTCAGCCAATCATCACACTACTGGGTCTTGGGGAGGAGACAGTAGGAAAGCCTGGCCTTTTAAAGCTTGTGCTGTACTAGTTACCACAGAGAGCCAAGAAAGGGAAAATAGGAAGAGAAGAAAGCAGCCAGAGCAAGACAACTCATATGCAACTACCTAGCAGTAGCAGAGACTCTGCGAGAGCCACTTCCCCTCCTCCTTGTCTCCCCAGGACTTTGGTGGGTACTTCTCTGTCTTAGGACCTGCCTCCCTGACAGATACACAGCTGCTATCATGGGAAGTGTGGCGTTTGAGTGAGCAGGCAGTATTGAGGGCACATGGGATAAGGGTCCTGAAGGAACCTTTCCAGCTTCCAGGTAAAGCAAAATTAGACTTGGAAAGTCTTAGCAGACATTGGAAATGCCACTGCATGTACTTGGTGGAATCTGTAAGCGTAAAACCACACAAGACCGCTGACAGCCCATGAGAACAGCAGCTTACCACAGCTGTCCCTGATGTTGCTGAGTTAAGGGTCCCTCAGAGCTGCATTTCTTGCTGGGGAAGGGATGGTCCCTTTACTAACCCAGAGTTGTGCTGAACATAGTACTGGTGCCCAGAGATATAGGGCTAATAGCACGTGAGAACACAGGCAGACGGGGAGTCTGCCACCCCTCAGTTTGTTGCTTCTGCTGGTTTCCAGGGTTTCTCAGCCTCCTCAGTCAATTCCACAGACTCTCCTCTTTTCATTAGCATCTTCTTTCCCGCTGCCCACCCACCTCGCCCAGCACTGGGACTCTGGTTCGCTTGACAACAGGTAATAGCAGGCGTTTCCTCGTCCTGTGACAGGACATCCTGGCGCCCTACAGTCTCTCCCTGGCTTTAAAACAGACCCAAGCACAGGAAAAAACCCAGCTCTAAAATTAGCAGTGTGATAGAAGAAAGGGACATAGCTGCTCTCTGTACTGTTTGTCAATGAAACAGTCTAAACAGGCCAAATGCATTTCCTTTTTGGGCAAAACAGACCCGTCAGGGTGATAGTCAGATGCCAAAGGGACAAGGCAGCCTGGGAGGCATGAGAAGCTTTCCAAACTGCCCCAGGGCCCACCGCCCACATTGCTCTGGCTTTTTCCAATGGCCTCCAGCTGTTGGGGAGTTTTTGGACAGAGATGGTCTAACCTTTCCAGAGGTTGTGCTGGCCTTGAAATATTCAAAGTAGAAGTGTACTAACCCAGACACCCTTCAGGGGGCCCTTGATAAATTCCCTCCAAGACTGCCAAGGACAACTGAGTTTCAATTAATGGAAGTTTTCCTCATTTTGAGTTTTCTTCAGTGAGTGTTTGGATGCAAAACATATAAGTTCTAATGCCTCCAAGTAAGAGTCTCTAGGTTGTCAGTGTTAGAAAAGCCGTAGTCAGGTTGGTTCTCTCACTAGAAGTAGTTATTTTTCAGTCAGGAACTATTGAGAAGAAAAATAAACAACAAAAGAACTATGGTTCTGTTCTTTTCTTTTTTGGCACTAAAATGTCTTTTTTTATTTTTTTGGGAGAGTGGTGGTTTAGACAGGGTCTCACTATGTAACTCTGGCAGACCTGGTACTCATTCTGAACTCACAGAGTTCTGCCTGCCTCTGCCTCCAGAGTGCTGGGATTCAAGGCCTGCATTCCTAGGACCATGTCTTTTAAAACTCAGCTTTTCCTATGATGTTTTCAAAATCTTCCATTTCCTTCTCGAGGATGGATTCATATGGTAGAGGCTATCACTTCAGTGGGAAGAACTGTTCGCTTTATGTGTCTGATCAATAGAGGGTAAAGTGCAAACCTTTTATAAACATGCCCATGTTCTACTCTTAGTGGTGAAGGCAGGAAGGGGGCAGGAGTGACCCCCAGTCACATCTGTATGTCTCATATCCAATGGGAGTCACAGAGACAATCTTGCATTGCAGCTGGGTAAACTGCAGCTGCTTCAGTGATTGGCTCACATTCACACCAGTAGAACCAGGATACAATTCCAGCTCCTCTGTCACTGAGCCCTGGGTCCTTCCACAGAGACTTCACAACCTTCCCAAACCCCCGGCCACACCCCTTCCTGCCACTGACTGGCTCCAGGGAAGTGACTTTCCCAGGACCATTCTGCCATACTATTCTTAGCATTCAGGGTAGCAGGGTTTCCTGACTTCCCCCAGGCGTTCTCTAGCACATAAATACCAGTCAGCCTCATTCTGGAAACTGTTTCTCAAGGAAGATAAAAGCCCAGGATCTGTTATTCCTAAAACGATTCCCTTCAGACTTCCTGCTGTTTCCCCTGTCAGGAGTGGGCACCAGCCCCAGGAATGACTGGCATTCTAGACCAAAAAGGAAAGGTGGACTAAAGAATGTCCCACACTCTGCTCCTGTGCACCTGTGTGCCCCTCAGATCTGTCTATAGACCATGCAGCTAACTAACATCCTCAGTGAGCTGCAAGAAGCTTGAACTTCTAGTTGTTCCTGATCCTAACAGCTCTGAGACCGCAGGATGGAGCAGTGGGACCCCGATCACTGGAGGTGGTGGGTCACAGGGTGACACTTGCTGTGACTTCTACCACCAGTCTAACCCTTCCACAGAATCTAATCTTGCACACAGCTCTGCTCTCTGACAATCCAATGGCCTGCAGAGTCAGGTTATGGTCTACGTTTGTGTTACAGCCAGAATGGGAGCGATGTATGTGGGCATGGTTAGGCATCTGCTGTTCACTCAAGACTCGGTGTAACATGCTTACATGAGCTTCTCACTGGTCATGAGCAAGAATTTGTGCTGAGCCCAGGTTGGGCCCCAGGAAGCATCACTTAAACAAAGCCCTACCTTCTGTTGTAACTGTAAGCTGGGCAAGCTGGGACTAGGCTAAAGCTGTCTCCCATCTCTGCCTAGCTTAAGCCAACTATTCCCCAGGTGCTTCGTCAAATTGGCATCAGGAGCACGCTCACATACAGAAGGGTAAATGTGGTACAGATTCTGTAGACTCAGAAAAGCAGAACACCTTACTTCAGTATGCTAGAACCTGGAATCATACCTGGGGTACTCTCCCTCCATAATATCAAAAGGGCCCAGCAGGTCTGCCAGCTTTATGGGGCCTACTCTGTCTGCCCTGAGTACTTACTTGCCAGCTGGAATGCAGCAGCCATGACCTCCTCCCAGCACTGGGACTCTGGTGACATCAGGGGCAGGCCCGTCAGCCCAAGGATGAAGGTGATCTGACCCACAGCAAGTGCGGCTGTGGCCACCAGGTTGCAAGCACGCATCATGTCAAACTGTACTGTGGGCCAAAAGAAGGGAAGGCAGGTGGTCAGTATGTGAGCCACTTAGGGAAGAGCACAGTCAGGCTGGCCCATACTCATTTTCAGTGATAGCCACTTTCTTTATAGGCCTCTATTGGACCTTTGGAAAAGCAATACAGACAGCTAGTATCTTCTCTGAACAGAACTTTCTCCAAGCACCTTACCCACTCTGGAGTCTTCATGCTATCCTGTCCTCACCAGACACTTAAGAACCCCTAGCTTAACTGCAGTGGTCACATCCCACCTAGGCTGGAATTCTGCTGTGTGATTTGAGTTTCTGTGTGTGTGGTATATGTATGTGTATACTATGGTACTGGTGGGGGTGGGGTGTTAAACCTGCTCATGTGTGTACACATGGAAGCCAGAGATCAAGTGTCTTTCTGTTGTTCTCCACCTTCTTTTTTGAGATAGGGTCTCACTGATTCTGTATTTCCATAGATCCACACTCTGGTCTTGCACAGCATACACTTTGCTCACTGAACCATCTGCCCAGCCCCTAGTTTGAGTCTTGATGGGACAAATGTTCCTTTTTCACTCAGGTGCTATATTATAATTGAAGCTAGAAGGGGAAGTCCTGTCAACAGAGGGTTTCTTGCTTAGTAATGGACCCCACAGGTCCTCAGCTGCTGTCCCCAGTTAGCCAATCAGACACCCAAGAACTCAACAGTGGTTTTATTTTGGTTTGGGTTTTTTGTTTGTTTGTTTGGTTGTTTGGTGGTCGTTTTTTGTTTCTGTTTGATTTTTTTGTTTGTTTGGTTGGTTGGTTTGGTTTGGTTTGGTTTGGTTTGGTTTGGTTTGGTTTGGTTTGGTTTGGTTTGGTTTGGAAAGGATCCAGTCAGTGGCAACTGCCGATCCAGCAGCATCTCTCTCTGGTAGGCTACCAGATCCACGGGCTGCTTGGCTTGTCCAGTAAGCTTAAGATTTTGTCCAGCCACAGAACTCTTCAGATATGCAGACAGTCTACAAGACTCACTGGGATTAAATCTGTTCGTGCTACTCCCACACTGGCGGTGTCGAGTTGGAAAAGCCTGGGATCTCAAGGGGCCCTCGAGTTCTAAGTGACAGGAGAGTTCTCCGCAGAGGAAGTAGCTTAAAACACAATGGGCACAACAGGCTAACCCTTGGTGGCAGGAAGTGGCATAAAAACCCTGGATGACTCTGCGACTCCACAGCCTAAACAGAAATTCGATCCTGTAAGGAACATGAATCAGACACCACCCAGCATGAAGATGGGGCAGGGCACACAGGGCCCTAGGCAGTGATGACAGTCACATGGCAGAGCACCCCAAGAGCAAGTCTGTGTTCAGTTCATGTGACAAGGTGACTTCTCTCAAATTGCTGTAACAGTCTGAGAAAGGACTGAAGAAAAAAGGACGCAACTTCGTGGTTGCCGGTATGGGGTTTTAATTAATTTTTTAGCATCATCTCATACACTTACTGGCCCAGCACGTACCCTTTACCTGTGTAGTGGGTGACTGCTGGACAAAGTTTCCAAGAACAGAGAAAGGCACAGAGGTCTCTGGCCATTTGGATGAGACAGACTTCCCCTGTGAATTCCAGTCTCTAGGCCTGTATGTTCTCATAGGCCTTACCTAGATAGTCACCCACTGGATTGGGGCATTAGAGGAGGGAACACAGGTGACTTGAGAGTCCGCCTTTACTATGTAATGCGGGGGAACCTGGGAGGGAGGGGTTTCAAGGATGGGTTGGAGCGGATAGCAGAGGGACAGAGGGGCAGTGAGGTGCCCATAGGCCTAGGGCAGAGGTACCTATCATGTGCTCAGACACATGAACCCACATGAGATGAGAGGAAAGGCAGACGCCAAGCCTGAGATCTTTGAGCTATTTTGTAAATTTATATCACATTTCAATAAACATTTAGATCAAACCTAACAGAACTGCCAATATTGGCAGTAATGGTTCAAAGTTACCTTCTAGCCATTTAAAAGCCCTCTGAGGTGAAGCAACCTGCCCCTCCCTTGGAATGCCTTTCTTAGTCTTTGTGAGAAGTGGGACAGAAGATCTTCAGGTCTCTGTAAGTGGGGCCTTACTTGCTGGCTCACATGTAAGAGGCTACCTAACCTGTGCAGGAGATGTCCAGCCTCCATCTCTTCCCTTCCTTCAGAGGAAGACAGTCCAACAGGAACCCTGGAGTGAAGGTTTTTCTTGGAAGGTTGTGCTTTTTTGCGTTCAGTTTTTGTGTTTCTGATGATAACATTTGTTATAAGCCAATTCTGAAAAGCAATCTTTCAAACATGGAAAGAGTAGTGCCTCTGTCTTCCAGGCCTGCTTTGAGCTGAGCACTGCCTTATTTGCAACACATTTGTGAATCAGAACTTCCTGATTACTGCTAGAGGGCAAGACATGGCTGGGCTATGGCATGCGGCTCCTGCTGTGCACCTCCCCTGGGCTCTGGCAGCTTCCACTGACAGACTTGCTGCTGATCTGGGGCAACCCAGTCTGTCAATGTCAGCATTCCGTGTGGTATACCACCATCTCATGGTATGAGCTTTGGTGTGACATTTCATTTGAGGGAGAAACAAATTTCTGGGCCAGAAATGCTCTCTCTACAGTTCACCGACCACACTCTGACTTAGCCATCTTTTGAGAACAGGGTGTGGGGCACAGAGCAAAAGACAGGGAGGCAGGCACAGGGTTGGAACACCACTCTGGCTGCTGAGAGAGCAAAGGACTAAGAGATAAGTGGGATGGACCTGGGTTCAGCAGACTCAGGCTGGCTCCTGCTCTGGCCACTGCTGGTAGAGAGCCCAAGTGAAATCTTTTAATGCTAAAGATCTAAGGCTTTTGCTCATAGGAGGGAGAGGTAACAATGGTGAGTGTTCAAGCTGGGTATGGTGCTCCATGCCTTTAATCTCAGCACTCAGGAGGCAGAGGCAGAGGATCTGTGAGTTAAAGGCCAGCCTGATCTATACAGTGAGTTCCCAGGACAGCCAGGGGTAAGTAGAGAGATCTTACGAAACCAAACCAAACCTTGGGCACTTTTCTACTGCTGTACCCACAGCAAACCTCCAGTGGGCCCTCCTCTAGTGACGTCAGTGATATGTTCTTTAGTCCTTAGTTACAACAACCAGAATCCAGATCACTAAAGACCCTAATGGAGCCGCTTTAAAGGGGCATGAGGTAGGCCCGGCAACACTGATCAGCAGGTGAGCTCACTTGCCAGGAAAGCCTGATGTCCTGAACTTGATCCCCAGAACCCACAGAAAGGTGGAACAAGAAACCTAACCTGCAAAAGTCGACCTCCGGTCTCCACACATGCACCACAGCATGCATGTGTCTGCACATGTACATGTGTGTGCATGCTAATCAAGATAAATCTAAAAAATGTAATGAGGGACAAAAGATGAACTAGAGTCCAGCAACTTAAGGGTAGGAAACAAGCAGGCGGATCCTTCCAGGTAGAGGCACAGCTTAAAATAGGCGAGTGTGCTCTTGGACTCTAGAAAGATGTAGAGGGAAGAAGAGCAACAGAGGGATGGGAGTGCCAGGGGCAGCTAAAATGTTCCCTGAGCTGTGGGACTCAGAATGATTTGACTTTCTGAGGCACAGGGCTGTTCAGGACCTGATGGCTCTGATAGTGGTTCAGTCCAGTGGCTGCCTCTTCTGATTCGCTGGTTGCACCTCCATCCTTTACAGCTAGCCACACACAGCAGGAGGTTCAGCCCAGTGCCAGTGCCGTGTGCTCCTGCAGGGCGCCCTGTTCACTTGGCAGCTGGTGTGCGCTTCATAGGGCTCCCTCTTTAGTCTGGAAAGGCATTTCTTTTTTTTTTTTTTTTTTGTTTTTTTTTGTTTTTTTTTTTTTTTTTTTGTTTTTCCGAGACAGGGTTTCTCTGTGTAGCCCTGGCTGTCCTGGAACTCACTCTGTAGACCAGGCTGGCCTTGAACTCAGAAATCCACCTGCCTCTGCCTCCCAAGTGCTGGGATTAAAGGCGTGCGCCACCACCGCCCGGCTTTGGAAAGGCATTTCTGACTACCTGCACCAACTGCATCCTTCACAGTGCTCTGTCGTCTATGTCCTAGAATTTCTGGTGTGGCTGAGCTTCTTCTTATTTATTATATAGACATATATATATGTAACATATATATGGGGTATATGGGGTGTGCGCATGTTCACCCATGTTGGAACAGGTAGGTGCAGGGTGCGCTGTATCTGTATGTACATGTGTGTGGAGACCAGAGGTTGACATAATGTATCTTCCTTGAATATCACTTCCCAACTTATATACTGAGGTCTCTTCGCTTGAACCAAGGGCTCCCATAGCTATCCAGCTTACTCCTCTGTCTCTGACCCTTGAGCATTTGAACTCCAGGTTGGCCACTACACCCATCTGGTATTTACATGGTGCTGGGGCTCTGAACTCTGACCTCATGTTTTCATGGTAAGCATTTGGCCCTCCGAGCCAGCTCCCTGGCCACTGCATACTTATTTTTACTCCATATATCAGGGCTTCTTTTTTTTAATTTATTATTTTCTGTATATAAGTGTCTGCCTACATGTATATCTGTGTACCATGTATGTGCCTGGTGCCCACAGAAGCCAAAAGAGGGCATGGGATTCTCCTGTCCTGGAATTACAGGAGGTGTGAGCTATCATGTGATTCTGGAGGTCGATCTCAAGTCCTCTGGAGGAGCAGCAGGTGCTCTTAACCAACAAGCCACCTTTCCAGCCCATGACACGGCTTCTTAAACTTTTCTCACTCACAGCCCTCTTAAATTTTTATTTATTATTTATTTATTTATTCTTATTTTTTATTTTTTTATTTTTTGGCTGTTCTTGAGCCAGCTTTGTAGACCAGACTGTCCTTGAACTCAGAGATCTGTCTGCTTCTGCCTCCTGAATGCTGGGATTAAAGATGTACTCCACCGCCACCTGGCTTGGATGCATATGTATGGTATGTATGTATGTATGTATGTATGTATGTATGTATTGAGACAGGCTTTTTCTATATAGCCCTGG